ATTATAATAAAATTAGTTAATACCCGGTAATATTATTCATAAATGCTTGATTGTTTATTATAATAAAATTAGTTAGTACTGGTCTTATTTCATACATTTTTTGAAGGATTCTCAATATTAGCATCTTAAATTTGGGTGTTTTGATTCTTTATTAGATGTTTTATGTATGTTTTGCATCTCTAAAAATTGAATTGTATAAGTGTAACAGTATAACATGTGAATTACTAAATAGTTGTATGCAGAGTAGTAAATTACCATAAGTTACTAACAAATAGTTAATTTACCATATAAACTTATCACAGTAAGTTTCTATTAACAGCCCCGGTTGTGGTCATAAATTATTTATTATGGCTAAATTCTTTGGATTTTATCAAAAAAATGAATTTAGCAAATACATTAGTTTCTTCAATTTTTTTTAGAAACACATTTTGAAATATATTCGTTAGCAAAAGAACTTAATCAGCTCAAAACATTTTATCAAACCAATAATGATTATGATGAGTTAGAATTAAAAAAAGCATTAGAAAAAAAAATCACCTGTTGAGAATATAGAATTTAACAATATACAAGATAATGAAATTCAGTCTGATAATCAAATCCTTATGCTCTTACAAATTGATAAGTTTCAAAAAATATTTGTGCAACATATAATTAAAGAAAGTGATGAACAAAAAATTGACGAAAAATTACCAGTTTTTTTAGATCAGCAAGACAAAGAGGCTTTTTTTGTCAAACTTCGTATATTAGTTTGTTGTAAATCTAAAATGTGTTTAACTAAAGTTGATCATGAATTTGCATTTCAAATTTTTGATAGTGTTCGAAAATTATCAAAATCTGAATATAGTATGTTTAGAAATGCTTCATACAATGATTCGCTCTAATGAGACTTTACGTGGTAATAAGAAACAATATTTAACAGTAAAATATATTTTTAATAATAATGAAATTTGTGAAAAAGCTTTTCAAACTATATATTCATTATCAGATAAAAAATAGAGAAATATTCATAATAATTATTAGATCAATGGTATTAAACCAATGGTGCATGCACTTTTAGAAAGAAAATCTCATCATGCTTTATCATTTTCGACTATTTTAAATGTTCTTACATTTATTATTAATTACGCGAATTGTTATAGATTGCCATTACTGGGTAAATCTAATTAAGCAATATTAGTTATATTAGTCATTTTTTTTAAATAAATAATAGATAAAAAAACTTAAGAATTGTTTTAAATACAAATATATTTTTTGATTAATAATATATAAATAAAAATTTTATTAGATTATCATTTTCGTGAAGATACTATGGCTATTATATTTCTTCCCACAAGTGAAAGCTATGTTGGATTATATTGTACTTATCAATCAAGTATAGATGAAACTTCTGATTTTCAGATTAGTCAATGGTCTTTTGTACAGATTTGGAAAAAATATGTACCAGAAATTCATTTTTTATCACCTTGAAGTGACCTATATATGTTGTATAAAAAATATACGATTCAATGCTCAATT